ATATTTAAAAAATGAAGTTATCAAGGAAAACTTATACTGCTTCTTTTTATTTATTAACCCGAGTTATCAGTTAATATATTACATAAAGTACTGCTAGTACTTCTAACATTTACCTTTTGGGATCTATACCTGGATGTAAGAGTGGAAGTTTACTTAGAATACACAATCATGTGAGAGAGAGTGAAGGACTTTAGAATTATAGGCAGAAAAATTTACTCTCAATGCTATTTGTATAGATTCTTAATTTGTAAAGTGCATATTTTATCCCATCCACAACATTTGGACATTATTGTCCTGGTGTCTATCTCAGACGGGTTGAATTTTACAGCTGGAGGGTACCCTTGGGGAAGACAGAGGAACAGTGTGAGATTCCTCCAGAGGTGACAATGAATCTTCAAGGCATCTTCCCAAATTCATCAATAGTATCTGTAATAACTTTTTCATGCCTACAAACTACATGCAGAAGAGATAGCAAAAGATTAAGCCAGAGATTCAAAAAAGTACATATAGGCCAAGGCCCAGCTTCGTTTTATGACAAAAACAAAGACGACTATAGCCAAGAAAACCAGGAAGCCTACAGGCTGTCAGGCATTGCTCTGTATCTGTTTTAATCTGCTCCATGTTAAATTTACTACTGCGGTTTCCCCTTGCCTTCATCCTTACCTTCTTCATTTGTTGCCTCTAAAATGGAGCAGATGTCTCAGTGTCTGCCCAGATTGTTGGGCTCTTACCTCCTTGGTGCTCGCTGTCCTGAGTCTCCACTATCATGTCAGCACCTGCCTTTTTTAGGGTCTTCTGACCACCAGAGCCAGCTTTAACCACCTGCACTCAGCATGCTAGAAGACCTGGGAAAATACCCCCGGGCACAGGCCCACACCAATATTGGACAGTAGTTGGTTTATAGTAACTCAGTTTCCTCAACCCCCAGGGGGAGTGCACTGGGGTATCACAGTCCAGTTACACACAGTAGTGTTTTATTTACTGGAAAAACCCTTCTTGGGCTGACTTCGATGTCCCATCTCAGTTCCCTACTTCCTTACGTGTTTCCTGGGTTTATCTCCTGGATGAACTGCAAATCCTTTTCCAAAGGTCTGATTCAGCAGAGTCGAAGCCAAAACACACCACAACCCTACAGTAGCTTGTTTCTTTCAAGAATAAGAAAGAAAACATACAACATCATTTCTTTGCTGGAACCTGGGTCAGGCAAAGGGCACTACCAAATGAGGGAAGAAGTTAGCCAATTCCTGGTACATAGAAACGTCAGTTTTCAGAAAATATTGGAAGACCTACTGCTCATGCTAGACACTGGGTATATGGTGGTGAATTAAACAAGCATAAGCCTTACCTCTAAACAGAAGGAAATGTAAGGGACTTGACCCGGTATCAGAATGTACCTGGGGAGCTACTGAGTGCCCCATAATAACCTCAGTGATGTTATCTGATAGGGAACACAGCCCTGGGAAAGAAACCCACAGAAGGCCTAAGAAATCACTATGCCCTGATTTTTCTTTTTCATGCAAAGTAAATGGCAATAGTCCCAGTGATACCTTGTTATTTAACAAGGTGAGCCATTACCCGAAACATGGTGAGATGTAAAGTCTGCAAATCTGCTTGGAAATCATACTTTACTTCATTTTTTAAAACAGGAAGATTTTTATTGTGGAATATAACATACATACATACATAAAAGTGCATGAAGCAAGTGAACATTTCAATCTATTATTACAAAGTGAACCCAAAAGTAATCACAGTGAAGCTCAAGAAACAGAAGATTGCAGACACCCCAGAACCACCTCCACCCCTAGGATCACCACTCACAACTAGCTTAACTTCACTTTCAGGGTAAATGCCATGTGTGTGTTTCAAAAGCCAATATCATAGAGATTCACTATCTAATATGCATCCCTAAATCATGTGGCTCATTTGCCTATTTTTTGAACTTTACATATATGGAATCATCTAGTATGTTTTTTGTACTGCGTGGCATATTTTGATAATATTATTTGGAATTCATCCATGTTGTTTCATGTAGATCTACTTCATACATGTTCAGTGCCATACAGTATTCTACTGTATGAAGATCCAATTTATTTATCTGTGTTTGATGGAAATTTGAGTTCCTCCTAGTTTTAGCTGTTAGAGCGATGTCACCAATTTTTTTATGACATGTATTAGTTCATATTGTTGCTATGAAAAAGTACCACAAACTAGGTGATTTAAAACAACACAAATTTAAGATCTTACAGTTACAGAGATCAGAAATCTGAGATCAGCTGGCAGGACTGCGTTCTTCCACAGGTTCAGGGGAGAATTCTACTTCTTGGTTCTTTTGGCTTTACAGAATTCCTGGTTCACTGGCTTGTAACCACATCATTACAATCTCTGCTTCCTCCATCACACTGCCTTCTCTTGCAGTCAGATTTTCCTCTGCCTCCCTCTTACAGACATTTGTAATTACATTGGGCTAACTCAGATAATCCAAGATAATCTCCCCATCCCCAAATCCTTGACTTATCCCATCTACCAAATCACTTTTCCAGGTAAGGTAACATATTCAAGGTTTTGGGTCTTAGGGCTTGGTCATCTTTGTGGGTTATTACCTAGCCTACCACAACATATATCCTGGTGCACATAATCACCCATTTCTATAGGGTATCTACCCAGGATCAAATTTCCTTACTAGATGTGACAAATTGGATTATTATTTAACAAAATTCACTTCCTCTCTCAACCTTGGACTATACTTCCCCACTACTCATCTTTGGGTTTAGCTATATAACTTGCTAAATTTAGCTAATGGTATAGGAGGTATGAGTAGAGAATTTAAATGTACTTGTATAGCTGGCTTTCCCACAGCGCTATAATCACCTGCTATGAATACAATCACTATGTACTATAATCACTGTGCCCTGAGTAGTTGCCCATCTAAGGAAATTCTGGAGACCTATGGAGCATTTTGATATAGATCATTCTCCTCTAGATACAGACCATGAGTTAAAAAAATAAATACTGTGAATCTGTAGATTGCATTAAATCTTTAAGATCAATGTGAAAATAGTTTTCTAATCCAGGAATATAGTATGTATCTCTATTGATAGTTTCAAAGAACATATTTCAAAAGTATTATAGTCTTCTTCATAGTTATATGACACTTCTTTTGTTATATTTATTGCTGGGTTCCATTTTTAAATGCTGTTATGAATTTTTACAGTTTTATTTTTTGATTTTTTTCTGGGATATAGAAGTGCAATTGACTTTCTTTACATTGATTCTATTAGCAACTTTACTAAACTTTATTATAGTTCATATACCAATTCGTATCTTCTATAAACACATTCATAACACTTGTGCACAGCAACTTTTCTATCCATTTATTTGTTATATTGCACTAGGTAGGATCTCTAGCACAATGTTGAATAGGTGGGCTAAAATAATTTGCATTTCTTCAGAAAATAATCATTTCCTGTGCCCTTTTCAATAAGTGCATTTCCCTACTCCATTGATGTTGGGCTTGGGCATGCAACTTGTCACAACCAACGGAATGTTAGTGGGCGTGAGCAAAGGCTTGAAATAGGTTTGAGCAATTGAGCTTGTTCTTGTGCTTCTGCCATTAGCATGACAAGAGCATGCCCTGCGTAACCCATCAGTCCTAGAGGCATTAGACTCTATGCAGATGATCAGAACTGCTCATATACTCATGGCCTGGACTTAAGTCCAGCCAAATCCAGCTAAGATCAGCAGAAATATTAATCAGCCTACTGATGTATGAGGAGTAAATGTATTTTGTATGCTACTGAGATTTTTATGGTGTTTGGTTTTTATCTATCTTCTACTGTAGCAATAGCTGACTGATACAGTGGTGACAGACCAAATTCTTTCTTACTTTGATCCCAATATTTATTTTATAAAGATATATTTTGTAAAATTAAGGTAATAACTATTTCTCATTTGCTAAGTGTTTTTCTTAACATGAATGGATGTTGAATTTTTATCAATTTTTTTCCTGCGTCCAAGATCATCATATGACTTTCAAATGCTAATTTGGCAAATCCCATTAGTTGTACTTTGGACATTAAGGAGCTAAGCCATAATTTATCACATACTAAAACAATATATACCTATAGGTCTTTATTACTTACTGTTTCTGGATTCAGTATGCTAATATTTTATTTAGAATTATTACATCTGCAGTGACATGGGCAATTTTCCATATTGTTGGCTTTTAATCACAAAGACTGTGAGGGTTTCATGAATTGCAAAGTCTACACTCTATTTTTTGTAGGAGTATCTGAAAACTGACATTATTTTACTCTTAAATGTGTTTTCAAACTCACTGGTACAAGCCAATTTTAGTGGAAAGGGTTTTAATTGCTGATTTAGTTTAACAGTTCTAGGACTTCTGTTTTTATATCTTTTCTTATATACTTACCAGTTCCTATAAGTATTCTTATAGAAATTTCTGTATCTTATCTAATTCTTTCAATATCGATAAGATCTGTAGTGATGTTTCATATTTCACTCTTGACATTATTTGCTTTTTTTATTAGTTCCTAATAAAAAAAGGATATTGATATTATACTTTCAAGCAAAAACCTATTTCTGTTGATTCTTATTTATTATTAAGCTCTTTAATTATTTCCTTCTCTAATTTCCTTAGATTTATTTTGTTCTACATCAAACTCCTTACGATGGATGCTTTCTCTTTAATACATAGCTTTTTCTTTTTCTAATATATACACCTAAAGCTACACTTAGTACTAACTTTAGTTAAGTACTTCTCCAGCCTTATGCAACCAGTTCTACATGTAGTATTTTTGTTTATTTCAAACACACACACACACAGAGAGGAATACTATGCAACTATAAAAAAAAGAAGCTAATGTATTAGTATGAGAATAAATACAATTTATGATGAAGTATAGAAATTTTATGTAATGTTAAGGAAAAAATAGTGCAGTCTAGCATGAATTATTCTTATTCTTTGTACAAACAGGTGTTAAACATGGTAGCTTTTTAAAAAAATGAACCAAATTTTTAGTCTCACAGCCAGTTAATCTCATTCAACTTTATAAATAGGTCATTAGAAGTTAAAAATTCACAAAATAAAAAATTGTTTATATATTCTGATTTACTATAACATGATCAGATAAGACAAATGTCTCATGGACATAAATGACATGCATAAGGGAAGAGACATATGGGAAGAGAGTAGAAGTATCAACTCAAAGGCTTACAACAACTTCAACAACAATTTCAACATGTTTATTTACTCACTTGACATTCCAAACAAAATGACATTACACACAATTGCATTTACATAAGTCAACTACTTTATCCAAAGTAGACAAAAATCAAATCCTTTGAATGTCCAACTGGTACTTTTTCCCCCCAGAGAAAGATACTGTTTAAATATTTTTTGAATACTTTAACAGAACCACAGAATTGTTCTCAAATAGTAGTTGGTTCTTACCTGCACTACACTTTTTTTTTAATTAAAAGCTGAATAAAGAAAAAAAGAAACCAAAACACCAAGTCATAATTCCTCTCACATTTTTAATAATTCCAGTAATCTTCATTTAAAAACTGCTGTGTTAAGAAGTGCACAAAATGAAAATGAAAATTAGGTCTTCCCACACTTCTCCATAGAGAAGTGGGCTGGGGCATTTATCCTGAGAAAATAGCTGCTGGTCCCCAATTATTATTTCAGGAAGAATAACAAACATTTTTGCCATTCGAATAAAACTTACTCTCTTCTGTGCCATGATAATGTGTAACCTTTTCTGTTCTGTCAATAAGCTACACTTTTCACACTTGTGTGATGCCTCTCCCTTGAGCAATTCTTTTACCAAGTTCTATTTCACTGAACATTCTCAATGGAAACAGTGCATGAACAATTACGAACATGGAATAAAAATGAAGAGTACATATATATTCACTTAGAAAAATACATACAAACACAACTAGCTCTTAACATAGAAAAAATCAGTATGGGCATGTTTAAGAAAAAAGATTATTTTCTAAATTGTAAATGGTGCCAGTAAGACACTAATTTTTGTATCTAGCTATATCACTGTATTTATATACAAAGAGAGGTTGGTATAGGTTCACTGATGTCCCCTGATTTCTCTCATTTCTTTAAAGATTGTCTTTCAGAACATATTTAAATTGTAACTATTAAATTTTTAGGTTATTGTAGTCACTGGCACATGCTCTTCAATGGGGCACATACAAAATTTGTTTCAACATTGATTCATTTTTTTAATGCTCAAACTAATTTTCCTGCTACTTCAATGCCACAATATTCTATCACTACTTTGGTATTTTACTAATTTATAGAAATGGGTAAGAATCTAAATATAGATTTTAAGACTATATAAAATCCTAACATACATATGTTAGAAGTAAGGGAAATTAGGAAGGTAGACACATTTTATTATATTTTTCTTTTTGTGTATATATCTAGCACATGTAAGTTGAAAGTCTCATGTTAGATACGAACTTACAACTGACACTGGTGACATTTTTATTGGCTTCCAGATTATCAAATCTTAGAACCTGTTGGTGGCTTTTAGATCAGTTTTCTATGTAACTATATGAAATGGTTACTGATTATTTTAAGCAAAAGCAGAATGGAATCTTTAATGTACAAACAGGTGGATTTAAAGAACTTACTCATCAGCAAACTTTATAATGACATTTTCTTAGCATTATTATAGTTTTTCCTCCTTAGAAGGGTTTTCCCATACATTTAGTGATGTAAAATTTTCCCCTTCCATACTCAAGCATTCTTTTATTAAGTACACTGACAAAAGTTTAAATCAAGACCTCAGATGTTGGAAGATTAAAAGATAAAGATACGTGTTTTCAATACAAACGTTAAAATAATAACAATTGCTTTCCATGTAATAGTTAACACCTTAATACAATGAACTATTAATGGCTAACAACTGATCCTTGCCAGGATTTTGCTAATGTGTTATAAAACCCTAGCTGGATCATAAAGCATGAAAACATTTTTTTAATTAAGTGAAGCTATTCCCAAAATTGAGAACTCCCCTGAAAGAACCTGATTTTTAAATTCCTATAATACCGAAAAGCTAGATTGCCACTATTATAATGAAGTGAACCAAATTTTAAAAACAGCTGCTTCTTATTGAGAAAACAATTCCAATGCACCAACTTTTAATGTATGTACTATACAACACTGCATCTGTTATTTTCCAGTTGATATTGCTTACGACTGTTGACTTTCACAAGTTTGGAGAGAAAAGTTTGGGAGGGAACAGACACGAGCAAATACTTGAAAAAGCTCCTGTCTTGCTCTATCACATATAAGCCAGTACTTAAACACTTGATGTATATACCACATTAAAAGATGTGCTAAATACCATGTTTTAGATTAAATTACATCTCTAATAGGTTGGTTTCCATAGGATTTAAGGACAATTTAAAGATGAACTTTCCTGTCTTTAAATGTTTTTAGTTTTGTTACAAGTACAAATGCCTGAAACCACCAAGAAGAAATCGTTCCCATTAGAATCTCATCACTGTATAATCCCTGACCATATTTGCTGCGCTCCTGAGATTTTAGGAGAATAAAGCTATACAAAATACACAGTCTTCATCCTTAACCTAGAGTAGTGTCCCACAGACTTAACGTAAAGTCTATAAATCATCATCTAAAAACACCACGGAGCCAAGCAAAGAGAAGCAAGAGTTAACAATTAAGTCAAACAAACCAACGATGTGTAACTGAGATGTTTAAAAACCTTACATTTTCTTCCTTAGTCTCAGAGACAATTTTACTGAAATAAAAACTGTCTTCTGAATATAGTCAAGAATTTATTCACAAATACGTATCTTTTCATAAACACACGTTGGTAGAGAAGCCTCATAAAAGGCCCTTACGCCAAGCACTAACTAAGGTTCTTCTCTACAATTGATAAAAAGTGAACACTGATGGTGAGAAAATGACTGTAAGCTTAAAATAACACTGTGATATTTTAAAGTGTATTACTTAAAAACAAAAAAAGCTAGTCACCAATAATGCCATTCTCTCGTTATCATGTTCAATTAACAGAAAAACCAAAAAGGAGGCCATGACTCTTCATCCTCTGACATGGCTGTGCTCTTGTTGCTACTAATAAAGTAACATTATGATATGTGATTGAGATGCAAACAAAACCATAAAAACTGCTCTTGCTGTTAATTAACCCTCAAATAATAAAAATAAGACAAAGAAAATTAACAACAGCCAAGCTAAAAAAAAAAAAAAGAAAAAATCTTACAAGAACTTTGAAAACAAGTTAACTTGAGAGCTACAACACATAAAAATGGAAACTGATGTTACACATGTTAATTAACCAATTTAATACAAACACCTGATTTATACTTTTACACTTAATGGGCCAAGTCCCAAGTTCCAGACTGTAGTCCACATGTCTCTACAGAGAGGATCTTTGGAAGGATAAGGTACCTTTGGAGAACAGTGTATAAACAATTGTAAACATACACTGATTGTCCACTAGCTTTCTTAAATAGAATTTCTGAAATACTTTTGTAGGAAATTATATAAGAGTGAAGTTGATCAGATAATTTCTATTACAACATATAAATTCTGTTGTGTGTGCAAAATGTGGTAAAAATAGAGGATAAAATGGATGATTTATATTTTTAAAGTAAGTGCTACATTATAATTTAGTAAGAGTCCTTTTATCTTTTCATGAAACTTCTCTCTATACAAGTTGAAATACATAATGCTTTCTGGTTCTTCTTCAAACCAAAACTTGTCAAATTCATAGACAAGATAACCTGCAGTTAGAGAAAAACAAAGCATATATTCCTCAATAGTGAAACCATATTTAAACCATCTCGTTTTTATAAAGTATACAACCATCCTTTAAATTCCATATTAGGATACAATAATCAAAAATAATCTTTAAATTATTAGAAACCTCAGGAACTTAATAAGTAGTATTTCTGTATGTTCAAAATAAATAGCAACATCAATAAAATATTTAGTGAACATTTACTATTTGTCTCAAAAACCAATGAAATACCTCAAACTTGAGAGATGTGTTACTTTCAAAAGTTATCTTGAAAACAGGAAAAAAAATTTATCCCCAGACACTCCAGAAGCACAAAAATGAAAGTAATAAATGTTAAACAATGATAAAATATGAGAAAACTATTTTCTACTTGATTTCTAAATCTGAATTATTTCTGCTTTTATCAATGAACTATCAGCATGTTTTCATTATCTTTAATAAAAAAACATGAACTAAAAATAGGCTTAATAGTTTTGTTTGGTTTTTCAATTACAGTAGTCAAAAACCCTCCCAAATTTAAAATTATTTCAAGAAACTAAACAAGTTTTTATATATCAATATACACACAGATACATTAATTTAAATGTGAATTTAAACCACTCTACATCCAAATGTCTATTGAATGGATAAACAATGTGTAGCATGTAAGAGAATATTAAGCAATAAAAAGAAATGATAGTTAATTTGAAAATTTTGCTTTACATTGATATTTTATAAGGCCAGCTGTAGTAGCTCATGCCTATAATCCTAGTACTGTAGGAGGCCCAGGTGGGTGGATAGCTTAAGCTCCCAAGTTTGAGACCAGCCTGAGCAAAAGTGAGACTCTGTCTCTACTAGAAATAGAAAAACCAAGGCAAGAGGATCACGTTAGCCCGCTGGAGGTTGCTGTGAGCTATGATGCCAAAGCACTCTACCCAGGGCGACAGATTGAGACTGTTTCAAAAAAAAAAAAATTTTTTTTTTAAAGTTTTCATTAAAAAGTTTTAATACTAATCAAAAATTAAGCAGAAAGAAACCAGACAAAAAAGAGCACATACTGTATGGTTCCTCTTAAACACAATTCTAGAAGGGGAAAGAGGCATGGATTAAAAGAAGCACAAGGAAACTTTTGTGGGTGGGAGTATATTTAACATTTCAATCACAAAGATGGTTTCATGATTGTATATATGTTAAAACTTACCAAGTTGTGCACTTTTAAATATGTGTAGTTTACTGTATATCAGTTATACCTTAATAAATCTGTTTTAAAAAGTGGAAAAAGAACCTAAAGCCTATTTTATATTCAACCAAGTGTATTTATTTTTTTTTAAATTCTTCTGTTGTGTTCACTGTGTGCTCATTTACTCACAGCAACCTATTATTTCCTTTTTACCAAGGAGGAAACAGGTGTAGAGAGACTAAATGATGTTCTGAAATCACATGGTCTGTGGCTAGTTATAATATCCTATTTTGATCAGAATCTTGCTGCATATATATACACAAATATATATATTTCATCCCATCCTCAGGAAGGGATAAAAGTGACTTATTCCAGTCAAACAGGAGAAAAAATATCCAGTAACTTTATACAAAGTGTGGCTAGACTGTCCAAATTGCCTAGTATGAAAAAAATGGAAGTTCCCTTTCATTAAGCAAACATTAACAGGCAAAAACTTTCACATTCCATCATTAAAATATCACTCGCCAAGAAGGCCAGTTTAAGAAAGACTTCAGATTAGTTTCTTGATATGTGATAAAACAGATTTTTGTTAATTAGGATATATAAGAAAAATCAAAGAATGAAACCTCAGAAGACCATCTTTTGCTTGGTCCCAAAAGACAGGGTGAGAATGGTAATCTTGTAATTAGTTTTCAATATTACTTTCTGTCTTTATTTTATTACACATTTATTTTGTGTATATATTAGGACAATAGTACTTGCATAGAAATCACCCATAAATATACAGATGCAGTCTGGGTTCTCTCCTCTCTCATCCCCAATACACCAACAGGGATGTACAATGAAAAAATATCTAGAGATTAATGTTTTGGGTAGTAGGGAGACTCAGACAGCCATCCAAATTTTATGGCATGCTATTTTTTCATAATACTGGCTATTAAGTTTTAGATATTTTCCATACTGTGCCCTTTAAATTGCTTTTCATTACTGCCAGTAATGTAACCCATTCAAATGACTATACTACATATAAGGCCTGGAACAAACTCAAGTGTGAAATATTAGAAAATTCTCTCTTCAGAATGAGATCATTGGCCTCTAACGTAAATCTGTGCTCTTGAAAGAACTTGAAGAACTGAGACCATGATAGCTAAGTTGATTTAAAAGGGCATGAGGAAACAGCAATAAAAAAATGACATCACAATTCTAGGAAACTGGCAGGCCATCCTTGGGATAAGATGCCTGAAGCTTTGCAGAAAGTACTGGGAAAGAGCTGTTTCCATGAAACACACATATTGTCCTTTAGACTCTAAGGTTTGGAACACTTAGACTCAATAGAAATTACTAAACTTAAAATTCCCTGCCGGCTGCTACCGCAAGGGTTAAAAATAAGGAGACCATGGGAAGGGGGTCAAAACTGGACAAAAACACTCTAAAACTGGATTTTGATCATGACTATACAACTCAGTAAGTTTACCAAAACTCTCTGAAATATACACTTAAAATCAGTAAATTTTATGCTATATAAACATACCTTAATAAAGTTAATTGGGGAATAACTTTTTATTATAAAACTTGATGTGCTATTGTTTTTCTGAACTGCCAAATCAAAAATCCAGATAAACCTGTGGCTCTGAAAAACTACAATGCAGATATGCGGACATATGGATCCTTCTGAGTCTTCCTGCAGGACCGTGGTCAGCAGTTTCCCAGGCTAGTGGAAACCTGGTCACAGTCAAGATGTACAAGAAGTAACACTAGAGCTAAAAAGCGAAATCACCACTCACAATTGCCTTTCATACATAGAACAAAAAAACATTTTTTTAAAGGCACAAAAATAAAGGGGTAAAAGGGAGATGAAGGCAAATTTCATAGAAACAGACCAAAAGTCTGAAAGCTATCTCTTTATAGCTCTTTCTTCTGAAGAAAAATTATGACCTTGGAACTGATTTGAACAAATTAATTGGGCCTACTCTTCCACCAAAATGAAATTATTACAGAATAGGTCCCTTCTGAGAAGAAAAACATAGTCTTAATTAAGACATGAAACTTGCAGTGGTAATAGGTGTGAAAAATCAGTTTGGTTTTTTTTAATATTTTTAATTTTCTTTTTGGTGCCGTGACTTGGATTCGAACTGGAAAAATTAGTTTTTAAAGAACTTATGCCAAAGAGGCATGTGTATTTAAGAGCTTCAACAAAATTGAAAACCATGAGCTTCATGGTTTCCAGGATGATCTACAGCGCTATGGATCTGAACTGATAGAAACAAGGCTTCTACAATGACTTTTCTACCCCAGATATTACCTTGACGCCCCTCCTAGACAGAAGCCAACCAAGATGTTGGTGTTGAGGGCACTGAAGATCAATGATACCTGAAGATACCCAAATTATAGTCTTTAGCGGGAAAAATACAGGACAGAGGTCATTTTGTACAGCTTTCCTACCTACCAACTTCTTGGTTTATTTACTCATTTACATACAGTGAATGTGCTTATTTAGGGAGGTTTTTATTGTTTCTTTTTATTTTATGTTCAAAGGATAGGATTAGCCAAAGATTGTATTTCCTTAGAGGAAAAAAAATATGTAGAGGCAAGTGACCACAGTCCCAGCAACGACGACTTTGGGATGGGAAAGGAAAGCTGCTCATGCCTGCTAGGAATCCTCAGTCTTCTCAGGTAAGAAATCATTAATGCTGGTCCCTAAGAATGTGAAAAAAAACCTTTTCCTCTATCTGAAGACATGTTGCATTGAATTCTACTTCGTGTGACCATCCCCATAAGATCCCTTATCCTTACCTATTAAGGGGATAAAAAAGCACCTGGACATCAAATGCTGAGGCTAGAGCAAGAGGATGGGTTGAAGATACACATTTGGCATCATAGTATACAAATGGCATTTCAAGCAAGGGACTGGATAAGATCGTTTAGAGAGAGAATGAGAGCTAAAAACAGAAGTGGGTCCAGGGCAGGCTCTAAAGGGGTTCCTACGTTTAGTAAGGGAGTGGACATCTGTGGAAATTCCTGTGAGGTAGGAGGAAAGCCAGACCAGTGTGGCATCAGAACAGCCAAGACAGTGTTTCAAGAAGAAAGGTGAGCTCATTTAGGCTTAGCTGCTAACTAGATCAAATGATATGAAGGAAAAGCATGGTTATTATATTTACCAACAAAAAATGTTGTTGGTGTCTTTGAGAAAACCAATGTCAGCAGATGAGTGGGGAGAGAACTAAATTAAAGTTAGATAAAAATTGGAGGTGAAGACAAGAAAACAGCATTTATATGAAAAGTTTTACCAACTGGAGGCGAATGTCACCCTAAGGGAAAGTTTTGCTTTCTTTTTGAAGATGCCAGCTCTACAAATGCAGGGACTTCGCCTTATTCTCTGCTACATTCCTGGGGACTAGAACACACTTGTTGCAAGCGAAGGAAGGAATGAATGGGATGAATGGGGTGAATGGGACTGCAGATGCAGGTCTCCAATAGAGAACGAAAGACAAATAACAGAGAAAGAACTGGATCATGGAAAGGTTTCAGGCAACAGTTCCCAGAGAAGATCACGTCTAAACTGAGATTTGAAGATGAACAGGCATTACCTGAAAGAGGGTGCAAGAACAGTGTTCCAGGCTGAGTGAATGTCACCAGCCAGGTATAAAAATGAGAGAGAATAAAATACCGGAGCAACTAAAAGAACACAAGTATGCCTAAACTTTAGACTGTGGGGGGCTGGTAATGTGGCAGAAGGAGCCTGGAGAGGTTATCGAGGTTGCGTTATACAGGATCTTGTAGCGGGGACCCTTTGAAGAATTTTAGACAGTAGAATCAAATCATTAGATTTTCATTTTAAATAACTACATCTTCAATGTGGAGATTATTGGAAGAGTGTCATCACAGAGAAACAACAAAACACTAATACAATAATTTAGTAACAAAGGCCTGATAATGCCCATTTACAATGGAAATGGAAAGAAGTAGACAAACTCAAGAGAAATTTAGGATGTGGACAAAACTGGAATTAGGGATTTAAGTAAAGGTGGAGGAGATTATGGGAAAGATAGAGGTAGATGACACCTTCAACAATGCAGATGAAGTTACGATTTGGCCATTTATTATCTAAGTATTTTCTTAAATCCTACCAACATGCAAACAACATTCTAAAGACACAAAAAGATCAAGAAACTATGGAGCAAAATTAGATTTGAATTCTTTGCTTCCGAGCAATAGCTTCAGAAGATGGATTCATTCAATTAAAGCTTTAGCATTCAAATATATCACAAAGTTAATAGAACAGAGATAATAACAATAGCTTTATGAATAGTTATTAAGTACCCCCAACCTACCACAAAAAAAATCGGCCTTGAAATAAGGAGGGGTGAAAAGTTCCTGGAAGGGAATTAATTAAGAGTAACAAAATAGTCTGCAAATGGTCTGCCCTTGAATCAATGGCATTCATTAAGCAGGGAATATTCATTTTGGAGTTAACTAGACAATGAATGCCTACTGAAAAACTAAATCCTATATTTGTCTGCATGTGAAAACCTGTCTCATTCATTTTGGAGTTAACTAGACAATGAATGCCTACAGAAAAACTAAATCCTGTATTTGTCTGCTTGTGAAAAACTGTCTCATTCAATTTACCAGCAAATATAAAAACAAAGTACAAAATACTTCTGGAGGCCCATCTTCCATTATTTTCCTGTTTTTCAAAGATCCTAAATAACAAAATGATAAGCATAAATTATGTACTTCATCAAGGTATTAGATTAAAATATATATTATACCTTCAAAATGGTTTAAGACTTCTCTTAGATCTAATTTTAACTCATTTTAATACTCACAATAAAACTGATGAAAGTGTTCTATTGTTGGTATACCAGGAACACAGTTGTAGAGATGAAACTTCAAAGCTTCACTCTTCAATAAGCTATAAGCCATCTCTGTAAGATTGATTCCAACTATTGCATAAGAATACCTACGTCAGAAACATCACCAGTTATAACAGCTAGCCAAATAGCTCACAAAATAAATTTAAAATTATGTAACGAATTAGTATAATGTAACCTGTTTCATGTCAAAATATTGATTTTATAAAAATCTCTACATAGTAATAAAAATAAATCAGAATGGATCCAAAAATTCTTTTTAATAGGCCATTATTTTCCAGACATAATCTAAGAAATAAAAATAAATCTCTGTTCACATTATATCTAAAACTTAGACTCTTTAAAAAAAGGGGGTAGAAGGAACTACATGCACCAAATCTTTTATTTTCTTCTTTATTCTCAGGTTATTTTACGATCTAACATTATTACTATGTTTTCTCAAAGATTAGATATATCATCAAAGTATAAAAACAATAATTAAGTTAACAATATGACCTCAATTTGCATTTCCCTTTATAATATTCAAAGTTAATTTTCATTTTCTGATTCCCATTTCAAAGCTATTTCCTATTCCTATGTTCAAATCTATTTCTCAAAAAATTTTATAAAGGCCAATACTTCCATTTTATAGATAAACTACATCTTGTGATAAAAATATACAGAAAAACATACAAAACTGGCTGGGTGCAGTGGTTTAAGCCTGTAATCCTAGCACGCTGGGAGGACAAGGCGAGAAGATCCCTTGAGCTCAGGAGTTCAAAACCAGCCTGAGCAAGAGTGAGGTCCCATCTCCATTAAAAATAGAAAAAATTAGCAGGGTACTGTGGTGGGCACCTCTAGCCCCAGCTACTCAGAAGGCTGTGGCAGGAGGATCACTTGAGCCTATAAGTTCGAGGTTGCTGTGAGCCATGATGATACCATTGTATTCTAGTCTGGGCAAGAGAGTGAGACTCTGTCTCCAAAAAGAAAAAAAAGAAATACATATAAAATGGGCTTTTCCTTAAAAATAATATATTACATAATATAATATCCTTTATAAAGTCCTTATTAATTAAAATAATTTCATTTTAAGAAGTATCTAGAAATACCTTCAAATTTATCTAATCACCTAATCATCTTAAATTCAAGAGATTAAAGTTTTTTTAGTGTCTCCAGCTTACCCTAATTTTGGATGATTTGAACGAGAAAGAATCTGATGAGCTTCATTGGTGTAATTTTCACTGAAATACCTAAAAAAGTTTGAGAAAAATAATGAAATGAACATACATTATTCAAATTTAAGATATCCAGAACCAATTCCCAAAACCACTTTTAAAATAAGTAGCTCTATGGAAAATCTTATGGAGATACCTCAGGGAACTTAAAGTAGACCTACCGTTTGACCCAGCAATCCCACTGCTGGGTATATACCCCAAAGATACAAAGGTCATTTTATAAAAATAACACTTGCACATGAATGTTTATAGCAGCACAATTCATAATCGCAAAGATATAGAACAACCCAGGTGCCCACCAATACAAGAACGGATTAATAAAATGTGGTATATGCATATTCTCTTCCCAGAAAATGTATATATAAAAAATTTGAACATAATTTAAGGTTGTTCATGGATCCCCTTTCATTCATAAGTGATCCTTCATTCATGGAGTTCTAAGTTAACAGCTCCTGGTATAATGGGTTGAAAACTAGATCCACTGAAGAAAAATGAAATATACAGTATTATTCTATTATTCTATAGAAGAAAAAAATAGAAGGGAATATGCAGCCATAAAGAAAAATGATGTTTTAGTATCTTTTGTGACAACCTGGATGGAACTGGAGACCACCATTCTTTTAAGTGACACTTCACAGGAATGGAGAAACAAATACATGTACCCAATACCAGGCTGTAACTAATCAACACTTAAGTACACATATGGAAGTGAATCTCAACGAAAATCAACCTGGAGGGGGGAGAGGTGGGGAAATTCACACCTATTGGGTATGGTGCACATGGTCTGGGTTGGGGGCATGCTTATAACTTTGACTTAATTTATGCAAAAACAAAAGTATAGAAATAAAACATGTACCACCTACTACTCTGAAATTAAATTAAAAAAGAAAAAAGAAAACAATATCCCTGATATGGCCACAATCATCCCCTTCTCTATCTCAAACCACTTCAGTGATTCACAGATGCTTCTGAGTCAAAATTTAATACTGAGTTATCTAGGCATTAAAGGCCGATCTAGTATACAACAAGGCCCTTGGCAAGCCTATAAAGTATTTTAACAAATATATCATCGAAAAAGAGACTGCCTACCTAATTAAAAAAAAAAGAACCCAAATATATAGAGTTTTTTGTTTACTTGCTTGTTTTATTTCTATGAAATAGTCAATATGCACCTGGTGGGCCACTCTGTCTTTCACCTATGCTTATTCCTTCTTCTATAACCTATGTCTGTAGTGTTCAATGCTATTTTCAGTGCAATCAGAGTACAGTCAATAGCATTTCTTTTGCACCAAAAAACGTCCTCGCTCAGTGGTATAACTAAAATACTAGCCGTAAAACAAAGTATTCATAGGTACAAGAGTAATGTATATAAAACTATTTGTAGGCTCATATCTTCTTTAAGCCTGTACTAACACAAACTCCTTGAATTGCTAAGGGACCTAATCTGTTCAACATTTGGATCACTTCAAAATGCACTGGTACACACATACACACACACACACCTATACACATACACACGATAACTGGCTAGATGTTGACATGAAGATAAGCAAAATAATAATAATAATAATAATTTCTGTGGCTTGAATTTTAGAGGGAACAATCATTTACGTTTTCATTAAGCTAACTCTTCCCTTTATAATTTTCTTCTATAGAATAATACTCTACATGTCATTTTTCTTCATTGGCTCTAATTTTTAACCCATTACTCCAAAGACTGTTAACTTAGAAACCAATGAAGGAAGGATCATTTATGAATGAAAGGGGATCCCTGAACCACCTTAAATTATGTACACATTTTTTTGTGTATACATTTTCTGGGAAGAAAATATGCAAACTTTCATGAGAGCCTAAATAGGGATCCCCAAAATATTAACAAAGTCATGCTTAATGCAGTGTTTTCTCAAGTACTCTAATTTCCAACCTTTTCCTTGGATTGACTCTAAAATGCCCTAGTAGACTATTTATATTTGATTTTTGTATATAGAACTCCTAATATAATTCGGTATTAGATTTTATGAGCCCAACTATCCTTAAAATATTCACTCTGCAATACTGAGCGGCTTTTAATTTCTATGCTAAATTTCCTTAGTTAACTCCTATCTTAACAGTATCTAAGCATAAAAAATAAACATCTATACAGTAAGTAAAACTATTCTTTACAATAATCTACATTGAGTTCCTTCCCTTCTACCTTTTTTCCTGTTCCTTCCTTCCTATACTTTCTTTTCCTCCCTTCCTTCCTACATTCATTTTTGACTTGAACTTGCATATTCTCCTACTTGCTGTTTTCTATTTCTTCATCTATTCAGAGTTCTTCAATCTCTCTTGAATTCATTCTTTGTACAACATCCATTCTTCCTCTATACCCTCCTCAGCATTCATTTACCTGAAGCCTTGCTTCAAGGCAAGAAAATATCTCCAGAAATCACATGACAAAGGCCAAGAAATTTTAAAAAATAAATTACATATGGCATTTTAACAGCTTTCCTGTTTCTTGACTATATGCTTGATACTTGTGTCATAGCTCTATACACAAAATGATAAACACTGTTATAACATTAAATAGTTATTAATATATGTGAATGCTGGTTGTTTTTCACAGCTGATGCTAGCTCTAAATAAAGTGAAACAGGTAAGTCATGTAAAGGTCTGTTAGAACCACTAACCACAATCTAGAATCAAATCCTATTAAATTATTTTAACTTTATGCTAAATTAATTTCTCTTCTGGACAATGCTGGGAATACTTTTTATAATTAATATTTTTTAACATTACAGTTTCATTTATCTCTGGGAGCAGAATTACTCTAACAAACTCTAATGTCTACAAATTTAGGTATTACAGGAAATTAAATGCTTTTGTAACTAGAAAAAAATTGTGGATATTGAAATCCTATCATAATGTCTTCTATTTTCCTCCAAAATAGTCTTATCTACATTGACCTAAATGTTCTTTTTCAATATTAACTCAATTAAGCTTAATTTCAGGATTAATTTTTTTCACAGTAAGAATTACCCTCACTTTAATGGTTAGGTTTCCCATTCAATCTGTAAGTCACAATTCATAGAGTAGCATCTGTACATTGGCATATCCTTATAGGAGGAAATTAATCTTCCAGGCTATCAATTATTACTTGAGTTAACCTATTTTGGGATTTCATGTATGTACCTACTCAGAGGTATTAAAGAAGATAAAGGAGAAAGAGTCCATCCACAGAGTAGCCTATATGACAAGTCAGGGATTTAGATTAGTTGTCACAAGTGGTGAAGAACATATCTGAGGAAACGTTATTATCATCTTACCTGATTATATTTCCCAAAACAGAATCAGAGAGCCCAGAGAGAAGAAGCAAGAGGATAAAAATAGTAAGAAAACGTGTACATAATTCTTTAGGAGGTATCAGAGTGAAGATCAGAACGACAAAGAGGAAAGCATTGGTAATTAAAGACATCACACACACAAGTGTATTTTCATGTCTTCGTACTGTTGACAGCACATTAGCAAATACTTGTAGCACCGAAGCTATTAAAGTCCGAGGTATTAAAAGTATGAGACAGCTACATTCATTCTTATTAGAATTTAATTAGATTGGAGATTTCATGTAATTTCATTCAGAGAAGAAAGGAAAGTATATTTTCACTTACACAAGATTGATTAATCCCAGTATGCCCATGCCTCTGAAGTCTGTTTTGGGATCATCACCCTGGAAACCAATGTCAGCCCACTGCTTGGAGATTCTGGCCTTCAACTTTTCCGTTGGCATTAGAAGATTCCAAAGCTGTACAAAAAAGCTTCTATATTACAAATAATAGTGATGTTCTTAGTTTACCAAGACATATTCCTGCTCATGGCTTATACTCACATATAATGAGTAATTGAATGCTTTCAACAAAACAACTTTGTAGAACAAAACATAGACAGGTTGAACAAGGACTCATATTTCTAAATATTTCAGAAAACTTTTCAATTACCTCCCAATTATAGGGCATTTATTCCAATTAAAAAGACTGATATAGGCTGGGCACAGTGGCTCACGCCTCTAATCCTAGCACTTCAAGAGGCCAAGATGTGAGGATAACTTGAGCTCAGGAGTTTGAGAAGAGTCTGAGCAAAAACAAGACCCTGTCTCTTTAAAAAACAGAAAAATTAGCCAGGCTGCTATGGTGACATGTGCCTGTAGGCCCAGCTACTCCAGAGGCTGAGGCAGGAGGATCACTTGTGCCTAAGCTTCAGGATGCAGCCAGCTATGATGCTGCTGTACTCTAGCCTGGGCAACAGAGTGATTCTCAAAAAAAAAAAAAAGAATAGATTTGGAAAAATTTAACAAATAATACACAGAGATCTAAAACAATGAAATGTCTTTATTTATTAATTAATACATATATACCTAAACTGGTAAACTGGTTGCTTGAGAAGAGCACAGTATTTAAAGCTCTTGGCCCTTGCTTCAAGAACTATATACTATATAGGCCAGTGATGTGCCATGGAAATTTTTAAAGATCATTAATTACATTATTTTTAAAAGAAATTCAAAGCACAGTAAGTATATTCTTTTTTTCTCTCCTTTTTTTTTTTTTTGATCAACATAATTTAAGTGTACCACAGAAGTTTAAATATAGGTTGAAGTGTGCCATGAAATAAAAAAGGTTGAAAAGGCTCTATTGTTAGGGTAAATGATTAATCCCTAATCAGAAAAAAATAAAACAATCCTGAGGGAGGGAACCAAGAAGAAATGATATTGATTGTATTTCAACCTATATTATCATTATTTTACAGATTTTCAGTTGAATGCTCAATGCAGCATTCAACATTCAGCATTTTAACAGCCATTAAGAAAATGGCCTTTTTTAAATAAACATATTTAAGAATGAAGATGATTTAAGAACAGCTATCAAATATTAGATACCAACAAACTAATCAAAGCAAAATAAAGTTAAGAGAAGTTATTCATTTTCTAAATTCAACACCACAAGTCATCAAACAAAAAAGACTTACAGAAGGTGGCTTAAAAATAAAGTTTGTGAATATTTACAGAACAGAAATACTTGGATTTTTTCCCATTTCACTACCATTTCAGGCATGGTTAAGTAAATAATTCCTAATGAGAAGAGTATCCTGTTACCTAAAAAAGTGAAGACTTGGGACCCTGATTTAAAACAGGGTCAACTCTGGCCCTGGAGCTAAATATATATCATCATTAGATTAAGTCTCAACTGGTCCCTACTTTTATTACCAACACATGTGATTTGCTCACAGAAGCATCTCCCCATGAATTCAGCAAGAAGTTTAATTATGTCAAGGATAAGACCTCAGTGATGTGGTGACAGCCACAGTATAATACCACCAATACTCCAAATTTAATATGCATATATAACAAATTTCTGGGTTCTACCCTTGGAGATTCTAATTTCATAGGGTGCAACTGGGAAAATCTACATATACTAGTGAAGGTGCTCTTTGGACTACAGATAAAGCAACATGGATTACATAGTTCTTTATGTAGGAGCTCAGTAAGACAGCTGAGTACATGTGGTGGCTGTGAAAGTCACTACCAATTGTCTCTCCACCTCTAGAACTGAATTTCACAATGGATCACCACAGTAAAAATTCCCTTGACTAGAATGCTAGGACTTGTATCTTATTCCCTCTAAAAGGTATTATGTCGCAAGGATCCAAAATTCCGGGAAGAATGAGGAGGAAGAGGGGATAGAAATAGCACTTAATCCCCAGTGAGTGTCAGGCACTATTTTAAGCATAAAAATTCAATCCACACAACGGCCCACTAAGATACATATTTTTATTACCCTCAGCCAAGTTTTATCTTTAAAATTAGGTCAAGTATATATTTTATACTTTTCGTGGAAAAAAAGTTTTATTTTTTTTTAAGCTTGTATCTTTTATTGTTACTTAGATATCATAGATGTTTCTCTCTGCAGTACTTTCATTATAATAAATTCATAATGTCAAATGCAATGTGCTATTTTCCTTAACTTTAAGTATGGTTAAATAAAACTGGAATAGATGTAGAGGACCGGCAAGAGACTCAGCTCTATCCCAGGCCTTACCATTCTAGTACCTAAAGCAAATCACTCCATCTGCTCTGGGCCTTAAATCCTCAACCATAAAATAAAGGGACAAGACTAAATGATCTGTAAAGCTCACTCTAGGTGTAATATTCTTTACTTTTGGCAACTCCTGAGTCTTATGCATTTACACTTCAGAAATAAGAAATAAGAAAATTATATTTCTAAATTTTCACTTTCTTAATGTTTAAATCTACTGTGGTACTATTTGACAACTAACGTTCCATAAGTCCCAAAAGGATCTGCTATAATAATCTGAAAAGGGACATCCATGTTCACAATTTGAGAGCAGCTAAAAAAAAAAGGTCTAAAGTAGCAGGAAAATCTGAAGTTTGTAAAGATACACCTTTCAGTAGAAAAACTCTCCCTTTATAAATGTATAAATTTTTTATTTGAGAATTAAAAGCATTAAAGTAATATTTATTTGACTATATTTTAATAATGCTTATCAGAAGAATTATAAAAATAATTAACTAAAAATCTTTCCTTATCAACAAAATTCAACATAGTAAGTATCTTTAAAGGCCAAAGAAACAAGATGGCTATGTAAGCTTCTAGAATTTGCACACAGACCTTACTCAGCTCAAGTCTGACTTATTTTCCTAGATTTCAACATTTCTAAATAAAGAAAACAAAAATTACCTTTAGGAGGAGCTCTTCATGTTGCAGGTTATCAGAATCATATGGCCTTTTCCTCACACTTTCTACATCCGAATAGAGCTGTTTATAACCAGTTATCTGTAGTAAGCATGTCCTCATGCAGATTTTAAAACTGAAAATGATAAAAGTATTTTTTTTACATCATGCCTTCTTAAAGCAATAAAGTAGTGCTTTCCATAGCTCATAGTTTGTGTCCATTTAGAAAGCATTTCATAGCTTTCAGTTTAATCCAAAAATACCAAAAACCTCCTTAAACACAGAACATTATATAAAAAATTACCTAGAAAGAGGGCAGAAATGGAAACTTTTGCAATTCTAAGAATTTCTCCTTTTTATTTTTTCTTTTTTTTGAAACAGAGTCTCACTTTGTCACCCTCGGTAGAGTGCCGTGGCTCACAGCTCACAGTAACCTCAAACTCTTGGGCTCAAGCAATTCTCTTGCCTCAGCCTCCCAAGTAGCTGGGACTAGAGGGTGGCCACCACAATGATTGGCTAATTTTAGAGATGGGGTCTAGCTCTGATTCAGGCTGGTCTCAAACTTGTGAGCTCAGGCAATCCACCCATCTTGACCTCCTAGAGTGCTAGGATTATAGCATGAGCCACCTTGCCCAGCCAGGAACTTAATTTTGAAGGACAAAAGGACACAGTGGCCAAAGGCATTCAACTTTGGGAAAGTAACAGTAAGTTACCTTGAAGAAGGCTGATGGTATACTGCCATTAGTATCGGACTGGGAACTGTGTGTGATCTCTACATCTCACAGGCTACAAGTGCCATAATAAAAAAAAGAATAATGTAAAAACAGCACACCTGGAATCCTTCTCAGAGTTAATATTCTTTTCCTTCATTATATCTTCTACATATTTGTCCACATCACTCTGGACAATATGTGTTGCCTTCTGTAAAACCTATTTATACGAAAGAAAGCTGAATGAGAAAAATTCTTTTAGCTGAAAAAGAAGTTTAGAGACATTTAATCAATTTTACAAAGTAGATATTAAAATGCAAAAGAAACCAAATGTTTTTCAAATTTTCTCCAGGGCTAAAATCATATATATGTGTGTACGTGTGTGTGTGTATATATGTATATATTCATGCAGAAGTAGATACACACCACATATAAATATCAGTATAGCAGGGCTAGATCTTTATGTTGACCACCTCCGTATGTTGATCAGTTTGTTTGTGGTGCATGTCCAGTCTATGAAAATTAGGTCAACTTAAGGAGGTGGCCAATGTAGAGAAAGCAGTCAACTATGGAGGTTCTATCATATATGTATGTGTGTGTGTGTGTACATAGTTTGTTTTGTCTTTTATTAATAAAAGAGAAGCAGCATGATCTATCCGATGAAGGAATCCTTAACTAAGAATCAACAGATTCTCAGCTGACAAATTCTTAGGAAACGAGCTGCGACCGTAGTGTGCTTATGAAGCAGATGTAGTGGCTCATGCCTATAAACCCAGCACTTTGGGAGGCTGAGGTAGGAGGATCAATTGAGGGCAGGAGTTCAAGACCAGCATGAGCAGGAGGGAGACCCTGTCTACACAAAAAGTAGAAAAATTAGCTGAGTATAGTGGCAGGTGCCTATAGTCCCAGCTACTCAAGAGACTAACACAAGAGGATTGCTTGAGCCTATGAGTTTTAGTTGTGCTGGGACCATGCCACTGACTCTAGCTAGGAAGATGTGTGTTTTACTCTGTCTCCAAAAAAAAAAAAAAAAAAAAAGTAAAAATGTAAAATATTTTAAATGCAGAATTTTTGAAAAATTTAAATACATAAGTGCACAAAGAAGAAAACTTAATCTATAATCACAGCTGGTAACAAATCAGCATTGTCAAAAATAAAATCAGATCAAATTTTAAAATTGTAGAAGTTTACTGTATGCACAGAAAAACAGCTCACAAACCAGGAGACAATGATTCAAAATCAAGCTAAGAAGCTTGCTTTAAGGCAGTTCCAGCACTATAAGCTTAATGAAGGAAGTATTTTGACCTTTTTAGTGTTGGTTGTTAAACATTAACATTCTTTTTAATATAAGCAGAAACTGTGTAAGCTGGCTTATCAGTTTAATTTCACTAAATCATGCTGATGAGAACATAAAGCTTATGTTTCGTGTTTCATTTATGATTTGAGCTGGTATTTCAAGGAAATCAGCATAACTTAAGTTTTGGCTACACAGCTATGGGCTACTGACCTTGAGGTATAGCAGTCCATTTTTATTTTTCAACAGCTTATATCCTTTTAGTCTTTTTTCTATTCAGCATATAAAACAGATTTCTTAAAAAGTATGTCCTATAAACATCCACTGGGTCCTTCCTTTCAATTAACAAGCAAGTTTATGCCGTCCTTAACCTTAAAAGGTTTCTTTAATGCTTATCCATCTATAAGCTAACATCAAAATCCTCTCTGATAAGCATTTTGCTCTATGCAGAACACTTCAATTATATCTGGAATTGTGCCTTTGTTTACCTTGGGCCTTTCATCTAGAATACTCCTTTCCTCAATCTCTCAACATACCATACCATTTTTAAGCCATTTCAAATACCTGGCCCAGGAAACTTTCCCTGATTCTATCAAAGTGGAAATAACCTCTCCTCTCTTAGAATTCCCATTAATAATCTATGTATAGCCTTTTCTAGGACTCTAACCATATTCTAGTTATTTTTATATATTAAGTGGACATTTCCTCAAGGACAGAGATTGTCTCTAGTGCATCTTCTCATACCCTGAATATAACAGATCACTGACAATTATCCAACAAATGAAGATAAACAGATGAAAACTTTAAGCAAATGAACCATTTTAGTAAAAGAGATATAAAGGTGATGCATAAAATTACTAGAGACAGAGACAGAGGGAATGTACCCAGAGAAAATTAGAAAATGATTGAAGAAAATTAAAAGGTGAGAAGGAAATGATCAAGCATTCTAATAATCAGTGAAAATACAGATGTAGTGAACAAGTCTAGTTTGTCAAATCCTAAGATAATATGGCTACAGGAAACGTCTTGAAACTTAGATACCAGCAGTGGTAAAAGTATGTATGACACACTTCTAAAACATTAAAAAACCAGTTCAACATCACCTCCTCTGTGAAGCCTTCCTCAGCAGCCTTGGAGTTACCTACTTCTTTTTATATTCATACCTCAGTAAGAGACCATTACCACGTCATATTTTGTTCACATTTCTATGTTTTCCACCAGCATTTTTCTCTCCTATTTACTCTTATACCCTGAGCTGAGTACAGCACATCAGTTAGGGATTTATACTCAAAACTTTATTAAATACATTATGAATGACTAACTAAATGAATTTATCCAGCATATATAAACAAGAAGCCATGTCTAGTGTACACTCTCTGGTGTATACTATTTATTTCATTACTTTTCTAAAAATCGGAACATAATACAGTGAAAGGCACAGATGTTACATGTCAGTTTCATCGTTTTTGACAAATGGATACATGCAAGTAATTCACATGCCTACCAAGATACAGAACATTTCTATTATCCCAAAAAGTTAGTTCCCTTATACCCCTTCCCAATCAATCCTTCCTCCAAGAAGCAACCACTGTTCTGATTTCTATCACCACAGCTCAGTGCACAGAAAAGCAATCATGAAGTATACACTCCTTTGTGTCTAGCTTCTTTCCCCCAACATATGTTTCTAAGAGTCAGTTGCATTCTTACTCATTTCTATAATTTGTTACTTTTGATTGTTGAGTTCCATTGTATGAATATACTTCAATCCTTATTCATTCTCCTGGTTCTGGGCATCTGCACTGTTGCCAGTTTGAGGCTACTATGAACAAAGCTATCATGAACATTCTTTATTACATTTTCATAAATATACATCTTCATTTCTCTTAGGTAGACAATTAAGAGTAAAATTGCTAAGATACCATGTATAGGATAGATACATTCAGTTTTTAACAACTAACCAAACCAGTTTCCAATGTGATGATACCATCTTATACTCCAACTGGTATTCACCAACATTGATTAGTCTACTTCATTTAGGTAATTTTAGGACCTCATTCTAGTGGGTGTGTATGTACTGCCTTCTTGTTGTGGCTTTAATTTGCATTTTCCTGATGACTAATAATGCTGAGCATTTTTCCAAGGGTGTGCATATATATTCCTAGTTAGGAGTTTTTAATCATGAATAAGTACTAAAAAACTATCAAGACAGTTTTTTAGTATCTACTGAAATGCTATTTTTCTGATTTACTATAATGTGGCAAATTACATACATTAATTTAGAAAACTCAATCATGGTATATTATCCTTTTTATGTATTATGGTACCAATTTGCTAATGTTTTGTTCAGGATTTCTGCATTTTATTCACGAAGGATATTGAATTGTAATTTTTATTTATTATATTGTCCATGTTTGGATTTAGTATCAGAATTATGCTGGCATCATAAATGTGTTTCTATTTTATTTTCTAGAAGCTTATGTAATGGTAAACTTTTCTTTTTATTATTATTTCTTTTCTTAAATGTTTGGTTAAGAATTTACAAGTGAACCCAAGATTGAAGATCTATGTAAAAATTTTAAATTATAGATTACATTTCTTTATTAAGTATATGACTTAATATACTTAATAGTATAAGATTTTTAACTTTTTGTTTTAAAGAATTTATTACATTGTTTTTCAAAGCCTTTGTCCATTTCATTTAAGATCCAGAATTCACTGGCATAAAGTTGTTCATAGTATCTTCCTATTACACATTTAAAGACTGCACCTTCCATCATTCTTGACATTGGTAATCTGGTTTTCTCTCTTGCTTGTTTAGTGTTGCTAAAGACTTTTTATTATTATTACTTGATAAATTAACCCTTTAACTGTTACACAAAGAAGGTTTAATCTCTAGTATATTTCAAATTTATGTCTTCTGAAAGCCACAACAGCTTTTTGGTGCTTAGTTCCTATTTGTTTGTGTCTTTAGGTTTAGAGTATGTTTCTTGAAATAGCATACAGTTAGCTGGGTACGGCTTTTTTATCCATCTCTCAAATCGTTTGCTAAGTCTTTAGTTCCTCAACATATAGAAAATTAACAGGCTAGAGTGAAATATAACTCATTTCAACATTTTCTAAGTTCTCACGTATCCAACTACTTTGGAGATATACTCAACACTTGAATCTATAACACTTAGATTATGCTAAGAATTTCTTGGAATAGTTTTTCTAAAACTTTTTTAACAAACCATGTAAGCACATGTTCTAAAAGAATATTTTTCGGCCATTTTTTATTTTTTAACTAAAGAAAAAATAAGTGATAATAAAGAATGGGAGAGCGATGTATATTAATCACATATTTTATAGTAAAATAGTAAGTTTATGCATATGAATTCATTATAAAACAAGTATTTCATGGAATAAAAGTAATGCAGTCTTTTATATTACACCTACCTCGATTGTAGATTATAAACTATGTGAATAGCACATATTTACAGGCAATACACATTTCACTATGCAAGCAAATCTTTAGAGATTATTCACCTATTTGTGTACCTCATCACAAATGTGAATGTTTTATTTTGAACTATACTCCTATGTTGTTATATACTTGAATGTTAGGTATGTAAAGTCTCATTTTTGGAATATATACATATTAGACTATTTTCATACAACAAAAGAGTAGATCAAGTGAATGAAATATCATAAAATGAGAATTAGATTTTAGTCTCCAAAGTGGACTACACAAATGAGGTGCAAAATACACATAAATTACATTTCAAGTGATAAGCCTTCCTCTGTTTATTAAAGTCTGCCTTAGATTGAAAATTTCCAGAGAACAAAGCATTGGTGATTTAATTCAGTATTTAACTACTCATTTTTTGACATTCTCTTTGTAGTATGCCCTATAAACACAGATTTTTAATAATGAAATCATAAGAACACAACTTCTTTTTATTTCCTTGCTTATTTTTAATTTTTATTTCTTGGCTTTTTGTTGTTGTTGCTGAGACAGAACCCCACTCTACGCCCTGAGCAGAGTGCAATGGTGTCATAGCTAACTTCAACCTCAGACTCAGGATCACTGCCTCAGCCTCCAGAAGCTGCTGGGATTACAGGTACTCGCAGGGGCACCTGGCTGGGTTTTTTTCTTTCTTTTTTTTTTTCATGAATCAGGGTCTCATGATTACTTTAAGTGAACTTTTTAATAGCCAGAAAATGTATTTAAAAAATAGTGAACATTTTATTTTTCTTTACCTTATAACAACTACCATAAAGTCCCAAATATTCTAGTTACATTTACCTTTTCCTTCTCTAAAACTCCTATTTATAATGATACTCAGTATCAGCCTTTACTTCTTTGGTGTATCCCAAAGAACATGATGAAATGCTACATGGTAATCATTCAAGTCCTTGAATGGATCTGAGAAGCACTAGAGTTCTTAAAACTAACATGTCCCTTGCATTCTCATTATAAAAAAAAATATTAATCACCGTATTAATATTATTAATACTTCTGAACAAAAGAGGAGAACTCTGGACTCCTCCCTGTAATAATCATTATGCATGAGTTATTCTTGCATAGACTATTTGTAAATAAAACAGTGTAACTAAATCAGTAAAGCCCCTATTTTATAGATCATTCTAGGACATAACAGACATGCTTACAACACTCAACTAGGTCCTTTTGTTCCTGGCATTAATCCATAATATCAATATGACTGGAGAATAACAAGTCAACAATTTTTGATCCTGATCCACATTTTGCATCATGACCAAGTACAAACATTCAAATGAATATATAGAGGTGCACACACCCCTACATGACTAAAATGAAACTTTCCTAAAACAATATTTAACCTTATTATGACCAATGATTTCTAAATATTTTCTATTCTATTCATTTTGTTGTTGCTTAATATTGATTGTGATCTATCAAGGGATTTTAAACAATTGTCTAGATGACCATACTCTATCTTTGCTACACCAAATAATCTATATATATAACAAATTCTGAACTAACTATAGGGAAGTAACAGCATGCTGAAGACTGAATTATTGGTCCTAATTTTTTCACTGCCTTATAATTGAATTATATACCCACCTGCCTACCTTATGGCAGGTATAACAATTTTCTCCACCCCTTGACTTAAGCTGGGGCACTTAACTTATTTCAACCAGTGGGATGCTAATAGATAAGACACACACAAAGAGACTTAAATATGTCTGTGGGGTTGGGCTTTCAGTTATCCACTGTGAGAACATCTAGCAGCTACCCACTATTCCCACCCCCCACAAACCTGGGACCTAGAAGAAATGAAAGGAATACACCTGAATTTGGCACCACCTGGAGGAAGAACATTTACAGCTGACCCACAGATATATTAGAAATAACATATTCACTGATACCCCTGAGATTTTCTAATAGTATGTTACATAGCAAATGCTGATTAATATGTAGCATGAGTATGACTTATTTTATTTTATTTTTTAATTTTTTTTGAGACAGAGTCTCACTGTCACCCTTGGTAGAGTGTCTTGGTGTCACAGCTCACAGCAACCTCAAACTCTTGGGCTCAAGTGATTCTCTTGCCTCAGCCTCCCAAGTAGCTGGGACTATAGGCCCCTGCCATAACACCAGGCTATTTTTTTGTTGTAGTTGTCACTGTTGTTTGGCAGGCCTAGGTCAGGTTCAAACCTGCCAGCCTCGGTGTATGTGGCCAGTGCCCTAGCCACTGAGCTACAGGCACTAAGCCAACTTATTTGGAAAATTACCTGTTTTTCTCTTCCATAATCTATCCTAAGGACACGGTCTACAAGAAGGCTTTCTCCCTAAAGCAATCAACTCCCAAGGCAAAATAAATAAAACCTCAGATAAATAATTATTCAAAATCCCTTCACTGTGCATGAAAAATACATACAGAGAAAATGTTTTGAAAACAATATAGTACTTTTAAAGAGGGGAAATTATACTCAATGCTCTTTAGAGTGAAAACTCTTCAAGTAGGACCTTAAAAATAACTAAAATTGAAACATTCTTCTAAAGGAAACATATGCTCAGATAATTCAATTTCTAGAATTATCACCTTAATATGATCCTACCTTATTCTTGGAGTATGTCAAGGAATTTTCTGGAATTAAAAAAAAAAGAACATCACTTATATGCTATTTGTGAATTACTCCACAAATCAATACAAAAAATATCATACTAATAGTAAATCACTTATATAATTTCTACATGAATAACACAGCAAACATTTAAAATACAACCTTACAGAATGGCATAGATATGATTCCTAATACTTCAATCAAACAAGGCATAACAAGTCAAAGAGGTGAGTCCAAAGTCATGACCTAGGGTCATCTGTTTCTGTGCAGACCCCCAAAGAGTCTACCAACCACAGAAATTCATTTGTGTCTGCCTCAGAATAGCCCAAGTCTTAAAAACTCATTTTAAGACTGCAATGACAATCTTTTGTGTTACATTTTCTTCATTTGTCAGTCTGAGTAAATGTTTAGATTTGATGTGATAGCAACTGAATTGTAAAAGAAAAAAGCAAACACCTTAGATTATCTGGCCAATGATGCTCAACCAGTGTGCAGTGGCACTCTGGTGTGCCACAAAATTTTTAAAAGATAATTAAATTATTTTTGAAAGAAGTTCAAAGCACAGTAAGTGTATTTTTTTTTTTACTCTTTTTGATCAACATAATTTAAGTGTGTCGCAGAAGTCTAACTAGAGGTTCAAGTGTGCTATAAGACTAAAAAGTTTGAAAAACACTGCTTAACACAGACAAATAGCAAAACAGCTTCTCCATTCTTGGCCTCTGTTTCAAGAATGACAAAGGCATATTTATTGGTTTATTTAAAAAAATTTTTTCCAACCCAGCTGCAAATCATCTCCTTTTTCTCAACAATTTGAAAATTCAAGAAAAATGCCTTGGCCATACAATCAAGTCTAAACATACATTCTTCTCCTACTCCAGAAAACAGCAGCTAGTATAGGCTGCAGAGATTCTTATCAAAACGTACTTTGTTCTTCTAAGTAGTCAAAGGGGCAAATTAAAAGGGCAAGCAATAATGTAAGTCAGCCATGAAGTTGTAAGAAAACCAGGAAAGCAATTAAGCTTAATCATCCAGCTGCCCTTAAGGCAGCTTCTATCTGTCATTCTTCAGTGTTGCCTTGGATACATGTTCTGATTGGCAACACCCCACTCCCCCAACCTTACAGGGGTTGGTTTCTTAGGAGAAGCATACTTGTCAACACAAAAAAAGACCTGGTTAATTCATGATTTTCTATTTAACACAGAGAGCATTAGCTAAGGCACTTACCTGGCCTTCCTTACCCTGTCTGAAAAGAAGTGACTTCATACCCTACATTGGTTATTCATCTGTGTTCTAATTTACCACAGTATTTTCAATTATGAATTGAAAAAGTGATGTATTTTACAGGGGAATGGAGCAGCATTTTTCTTTGAAATCCAGTGTATACCACATATAGCACATCTCAATTCAGACTAGCCACATTTCAAGTGTTTAATGTATCTGTACTGGCTACAGTATTGGACAGTGAGGATTTTGAGTCTAATCTTTCCTAGGGAGCCCTGAATACCTAATTACTGTCCTTTCACAAATAAAGAAACTGAAAAAGAAATTAAAAGACTGATTTAGGATGCTAAGTATAAAAACGAATCTAGATCAAGACATTGTTTCTTCCCCTCCTTTGAGAGAAAATTTCAAAGTGTTTATATGAACATAGAACTTTTTCTCTAGAAAATAAGTTCCAACTATAATCTACGGAACTGATAAATATAAGAGCTAGAGCAGATAATTCTTTGCACACATAAGGACTTAAATAATTACTTTCCTTTTCTATAACATCATACAATTTTAGAGCTAGAAGGACTCAAAAAAGACTCATTTTAAGTGACTTAATCAAGATACACAAGGAGTACATCTGTCACTGTGAGTATTGGGATGAAATAGAGTTAAAGTTTGTTTTCAGTTTTTCTTTTTTGAATTACATTACCTATCCTGTGAGTCCTCTGTGCACCCACATAGGTATCAAAAATTCGCTGCAATTCACACTTTCCAGTCATCTGTCGTAAGAGCCATTTCATCCAAAATCGCAAAAAGTGCCCATAGAAGAACTCCCACAAAGAAATAAACATTTTTTCCTGGAAGAGGAAATATATGAGACAAACTTAATGATTTAAAATTAAATTTTAAACTTAAAATATTAGTTTATCTATCCAATCAAATCTCAAATGATTGACTAAAGTCAATTATTCCGTTGTCTATTTTGTGATAGTTTAATTAGGCATCGACAAAAACAAAATGTATGTAAATATGATGTAATATAGACCACTCAGATTAGTTGATGGCTGGCCAAATGGGCAATTTATCACTTTTTTAAAATGTGTAAAAATCAAAACTTAGTCAAGCTATTTAACGGCCTAAAAGAATGACAGCAGAATAGTCTGCATTTTTTGCTAAAATAGTTGTATTTCATTTCTTAATTTGTCATCCTTTGAAAATTGGGGCTCAATTGTTCAAGAAGAACAAGGTCCAACAAAGTAACAATTAAAGTACACCCAACATCAGAATTGTTATGTTAGGAATACGCTCTTCTTCGTTACAGCTGTTCCAGTCAGGTGATGCCAGCCAATAAAAACAAGACCGATGGCTTACAAATTGTCATATACAAGTTGAACATCACACCCTAACTAACTCTTGATTTTCAGTTCCATCGGTGAAGGGCAGAAATGCAATTAAGAGTTAAAACAAAACCCCAAAACCCCCACCACTACACACTCTACGAACTGGTTCTTATGTCATAAGAAAATTCTTTAGCCTCTTAATGAAGGGAGGGAGAGACGCAAGTGAGGGGGAGATACAAACAAAAATGTGCATCCTTCCTGTCTTAAACATTCTCACGGACACGTCATCTCTGGATTTAGGCCTGAGGGACTGTCAAATTCGAAATCCTCGCAGATGAGTGCAAAAACAGTGCATAACACGGCTGGGCTGATCAGTATCTTTAAAAGGAAACCACCGAGTTCGCGCTCATTAGGACAAAAGAAACAGAACTGCCAAGTAGAGGAAACCCAAGCCTCGCGGCGCCTGGGCACCCCAGACCTCAGGGAGTCGCTGCGCGGAGCCCCCATCGCGCGCTGCCCGCGAGTGGGAGTGAAAGCTTGCACAAAGCCGGGCCAACGCAGGCGCACCGCAGATTTCCCGCAGCGCACGGCTGGGCTCGCGCAGCCCGCGCACTCTCAGCGCAGCCGCACCTAAGCAGCCCAAGGCAAGACGAAAAGAAACAGCATCCACCTCACAGGAGCGGAGAACTAGGAGGAGCAGAAGCTGCCTCGGTTTCCCCAACTGCAAAGAGCCGACAACGGAAACGACGCTACTTGCGGAACGTTCCCTGCAAGCACCGCGACCCGGAAGTCAGGGAGCGAGGCCGCGGGACCGCCTTCCTCGGACACTGCCCGCCCCGCCCCGCCCCGCCCCTCCGGCCTCTTCCGATTGGTCCGCGCTCCACCTATTGCTAACACTGAAGGGAGATCCAGCAGCGTTGCCCCGGGGACGCCCTCACGGTTTCCTTGGCAACGTGGGCACGCCCAGAGCTGGTGTGGAGTCTCCCACCGCGGCTCTTAGACTTCTCTTCTCAAATGTCAGGTGGCTTGCATGGCAGAAACCATATGCTTATTGTTACGTTTATAGCGTCAAAGGTTACAAAAGCGCTTTCACTTAAATTGAATTTTAATAATGTGAAGTCGTTATTAATAGCCCCGCTTTATGGAAGAAGAAAAAGAATTTAGGTTAATTGACGCCCATAGCTAATATGTGGCAGATTAGGAGAGCCCTATGTGTTGAGAAAAGTTTTGACTTTATCCTATAATAAAGGTCTAACAGTCTAAATCATCAAACATTTATTCCTTAACTGCTTGTTTTGTTTGAAAAATAATTTATGCACATGATATTTTAAAAACCTACAACAGTACTTTTATTAATTCAACGAGTATGTGTTGATTGCCTATTATGCACCAGGCTGTGTTCCCAGAAGGAGTTCAGGCAAATATTTAGTATGTCAAGTGGTGCTAAGAATTAAGGGTATCAGGGGGATATTAGGGCATGCGTGGGAGAAGTCATTACACACAGTGTAGTCAAGAAGCCTCAGTAATAAGATGACACTTGAGCTTTATTGAATGAAATAAGAGAGTGTACCATTAGAGTATCTAGAGGCAAAGTATTCCAGGCACAAAAACGGCAAGTGCAAAGGCCTTGAATTGGGACCATATTTGAAACGGAGGAACAGTGAAAAGGCCATTGTAGCTGGAGGAGAAAGAGTAAGGTAGAAGATAAAATATAAGTATAAAAGATAACTGACATTAAAAAATAACTCCACCCACCCACCTAAGACTTCTTGTTCCTCAGTGGCATTGCTTGTACTTTCAGAAACAGTCTATGTAAGTGTATATATGTGTATTCCCTTCATCTCCTTGTTAACACGAACTGAAGCAATACAAATTTCCCACATCTCAATCAGCCTTTTTAAAATGGACTCATTGTAGAATAATAGACATGTGCAGAATGCATTAGTCATCTTTCTTTCCCTGCAGGGGCAACCAACAATGAACTTGGTAATGAACTCCAGATAAATGCTATAATGATAAAATCATAGAATTATAAATCTTGGAGGGAACTGAGAAATCATCTAATCTAATTTTTTTAATTATAGTCTAAACCTTCATAAAGGCAAAATGCACAGCCAATTTGACAGATTAGAACTTAGAAACTAAATTCCATTTCAGGAGTCTCTTGGTTATTACACAAGGCTTTTAAATAATAGAAAGTAAGATAATCTTATATGTATTCTTTTTGCCTTTTCAAAGTGCTATTCTGACTGTAGGCAGTGCAGAGAGGTCTCCTTTTTGTGTCCAAACTGCCTGTTTGCTTACTTTTATCCATGTTTTTCCCCAAGAGAAAAGAATGCTAATCTGCTGTGTCAGAACTTGAGAAATTGGTTGAACTGCGTCTATTGGAAATAGCCATTGTACATTAAAAGGGCCTGTGCATACCAATTGCCTTTATACTTTACCACTAATTCATTTGCATATAACTGGTAAATACATTAAACCAATTCTGTTCCTCAGGAAAGACTGGCCCTCTCTCTTTCTGTCTTACTCTCTTTGGTTTTCTTCTTTCATATGACTAGCTAAATGGAGGTTAAGTCCTTATATAGGAGGCTTCACAGAGAAGGTGGGATCTAGGTCTGTAGGTCTCTCAACAAACCAGTGTGCTTCTACCTGGCCTTATCAGATACATCAACATGGAAAGCAAAGGTCACAGCAGATTAGAGTTTGGTTATATTTCTGAGTAGTACTGAGGAATCTCTACTTTCTTGGAGTTTCAGACTAACCAACCATGGACTGTTGATATTAGAAACTGCTTAATGGGAAGAATTATTTAATATAACTACTAACCAGAATCTTGTTGCAGTGTTCAGTATTTGATCCACAGAGGACCCAAATTAAATATTGATGCTCCTTTGGAGCGAGTGAAATTTGAAATGCAGCAAATATATTTGGAGAGGGAAAACTTCAGAGTGTACTCATTTTGTTAGCAGTGAAATGGGTTACGTCTGTGGAAACATTAGAAACACTAAAGGCAATGGAAACTTGACTGGTTTTATTTTGACTTGTTTTATGACAAGTAACATGCCTCTGCCCCAAACTATGATAGAGACTGTGATTATAGGGAATCCCTCATGCATGGGCTTCCCATTTGATTCTTTTAATGAGAGAACAAGGGAATACACAGAATGCCATGGAAAATTTGTTCTTACCACTACTAATAATAATCTTTATCAATGAAAAGGGTGTTTAGGCTATCTGGAAGAAAACTAATGGGCTGAAGTGAAGACAGTAACAAAAACAAGAAAAATAAACATTGAATTGGGCAGTATAATTTATATCATTATTTTTTAAAAGGTTGGGGGGAGGGGGAATGGAGAAGGAAGAAATTGATAGGATCCCTACAAAGGATTGAGCAGCACATTAACAATAGTTGAGAGAAGGGATACCTGCCTGTGGTCCTTACCAGATTTATTCCAGTTACCCCAGGCTGGCTGAGTTTAAATCCAATGATGCTGAAAGAAACTAGGAAAATAAAGTGTGTTTAGCATAGGGTAATGATTTTAATTCATTCATTAAGGTTTTAAGGAAAGAAGGAGGAATAGCTTGAAGGGGAAGAAATCCTCATTTTACCCTGGTGGGGGGGGCCCAAGGATGTGTTATCTGGTTCATACTGAGCGGCAGAGATATTGGAAAATTTGGGGGGGATTACTGAAAGTACCATAATGATGGTGTAACATGGACCCTAATACCATCTGGGGAATGAAAAGGCGATAATAAGATATGACAGTAGAAATTTAGAGCCTAAATAGATGTTACAGAACATACCCCAGAATCACTACAAAGCTGCAGATGGAGAAATAAGAAAGAAAAAAAATTCAGTTTTTACTTTCTCCTGAATATGCAATTAGAATGGATGCAATGAAAGTCCTTGTCATTCCCAGCTTAAAGCCAAAACTACTTTTAAAAAGACTTCCTTTCGTTTTGTTTTAATTAGGCATGCAAAATGGAAGCCCTGAGACTTAGAAAAACCTTCCTTTATAGTAAATGTCAGGCAATGTCAGATTCTAAAAGGACATAGGAAATCTCATCGTTCATTAAGAAACAATGGGAGCAAGAATGCTAATCTCCACTAATGCTTCCTATTAATCTTATGGGGCTCAGGAGAAAAGGAGAAGGTGTTGGAGATAACTGTTAACCATCAGGATTTAAACAAGGTAGTTTCTGTGATTTAAACAAGTGTCTGTTGTGCCCCACATTGCATCAGCTGAACAAGAGGGCCAGCAAGCTAAACATGACTGTTCTCTAGTGGTAGCTTAAGCTAAGGCAATCTTTTTGATCTCAGAGAGAAGTCAAGCATAGTTTGCCTATCCATGAGAAGGAATGTGATATTCAATATACGTTTATGGCCCTTCCCTAAGGATATACTAATTGCTCCAACTCACTGCCACAATTTGGTAAGGTTAGGTTTAGACGTGATCGCCGTCAAAATCAAGTTAATTCATTATATTGATGATACTATGATGATTTCCCCCTTGGAGGGAGAAATTCAGAGAGATTTTAGAGCTATAGTGACATGTTTGACTAGCAGAATGGTTAATCAATCCAGCTGAGATTCAGAACCTAGCCCAATCCATGAAATTTCTGAAAATAACTTTGGGGAAGTATTTTACAAACAGTAAGTAATAAATCACTCTCCTTCCAGGACACTGCCAATAAAAACAAGACACACTTTGAAATGATATTTGACAAGCTAAAAAAATATATATATATGTGATGGGAGTGGCCCACGTATGCTACTGGGATTATAGGGTTCTAGCACGTTCACAAACTATTTTGGAAATTTCTGACACAGTACAATGCATGTAAATTAGAGGCTTGACCTGAAATATAATGCTGCCACCTTGTGGCAACGACTCAAATTGAGGGGCTCAAAAAGTTCCTGGGGACCCGTTTCTTAGAGAACCAATTCGCCAGCATACTATTGGGCTCTAGCGAAAACAGTGCCTGCAATTTAAGGGCATGAAATTATGCTAAGATCTGCACTACCTATTATATCACAGGTGAGATCATAAAATGTTTTAATAAAGAGGAAGCTGCACAACAAAATTTTCAAATTCTCAAAAGAATTCACATCATGAGAGGTATCCCTTGGGCAGTTACAACATATGCAAGAGCAAATAACATCATTGCTTTAGGACTGGCTAATTAGCAGTCTCCTTCTGTTGCCAAATGATCGACACCTCATGATTCTCTTTCCACTAAAATAGAATAAGTTTGTTTGTTTATTCATGAAAGTTCTTGTATAATGGGAATGCCAACATAAAAGTCTGTTACTATTTGCTTTAGAGACAGTGAAGACCCAGTCAAATAATGTAAAGATAAGTTCACGCCATGGGCTGAGTTGAGAGCAGTGTACATGACAGGGGAGGAAGAACTTAGTTTTTATTTCAGGGCAATGTTTGGACACTTACAGAGTCCTAAATAGTAACCAATGGTCCAGCTATGTAGTCAGGAATCTGCAAATCTTGATGAGTTAAGAAAACCCCGGTGCAGGAGATGCAATTGTGGAAGGCCCTGTGGTATTCCCAAGGGAGGATGCTAGTGGAGCAAACAGATGCCCAGAGTAAAAATCAAGTTGGTTCAAAAGTGGATAAAATGCCTACCATCCACTAGGAGTGGCCACCTGGGTAATTTAAGTTGACACAGTAGTGCCAAAGCCATGTAATAATGGGTAGAATAATGACTTGTCCTTTACCTAAGCCACTAATCTGGTAAGAGACAGATGAATGCTAACCCCAACAATAGCTGTTTAAAGATGTCTTAAAAAAAAAAAAATCCCCTGATCACAGAAGCCTGAGCATATGGGCCAGGAACTATATAAGATAGGGGAACAATGTAGCCCCCACAGGACTCAAATATATTTAATATTTATTTCATCTTACTGATGAGGTAACCCAAGCTTAGAGAAAGTTTAAAACCTTTCCCAACACTACATTGCTAGTGAATAGTGACGTTGCTTACATTTCAAACACAGTATAAAAACTAGCTACATATTTAATATAGGTATTATATTTTCCTTTCTAATACTACTGTGCTCCTTCTTAGTTATACTAATCTGTCTCTCTCTCTCTCTCTCTTTTTTTTTTTTTTTTTGAGACAGAGTCTCATGCTGTTGCCCTTGGTAGAGTGCCGTGGCGTCATAGCAACCTCCAACTCTTGCGCTCAAGTGATCCTATTGCCTCAGGTTTTTCTATTTTCAGTAGAGATGGGCTCTTGCTTTTGCTCAGGCTGGTCTCAAACTCAAGAGCTCAAGCAATCCACCACGTCAGTCTCCCAGAGTGCTAGGATTCCAGGTGTGAGCCACTGCGTCTAGCCAATTATACTAATATCTTGAATTTAAAAAACTAGGAATTGACTCATTTGAGGAGAGAGGAATTAAATGTTTTGAGAAGCATTATCATTTTGATTTCAGTTTGTCAAGGCAGAGGATAGCTGGCCAGCCAAGGTGAAGTTCCCTCATCTCCTTTCATGGCCAAGCCAGGGATGATACTTGCCAGTTCTTTCATCTCGCCTATAGAATTAGAGCAGAATTAAGTTGTGTCAGTTATGGTCAAACTTTCTTCTCCACATGCTTTTCTCCAATTCTCTAGTGGAATAGAGAGAATTCCAATACCCCAGAGGAGAGGGTAACCACACAACTGAAGCGTCCAGGCCTCTGACTGATCATGTGGGAAACTGCCAACCAATTGGAATTTCTGGTATCAGACATTACTTGAGCAAGGACAAACCTTGATTGTGCTAAGCCATGGAAGTTTAGGAGTTTGTTCCTAGAGCTGGTATTAACTAATTTGTTGCTAATATGTTTAAATCAAAGTTATGAAGCAAATGAATAGTGAATATGAATAAAACATGTTTATTTGGATTTGTGACTTGGATTAGTTAAAAATATTTGACTTATAATGACATATAGTTTATCTTAAGCTGCCAAAACATACAGAAATTTAAAAAGAAGTAAGTTTGGCTTTTCTCCTTTTTGGATCTAAAAGTATGGAGGCAGTTACAAAATGTCTCTGCATTCAAGGAATTTGTTACAAAAAGTCTCAATGGTTTGTATACATTGATCATGGTCTCTTTGGGTTTTCCAACAGACATGGACTATGTGGATAAATTAAAACCCTAGCTTCTCTTCTTTTACATTTCCTGGTTTCTCCCTCCAATCTCTATGAAAATCTATTGCTACTCAGAAATAATTAGAGCTCAATTAATAGAGATTTAATAACTAGAAGTTCTTGGTTACTAAATTACTTTTCCTTACCTCAGCAGTGGAAACAACCCTAGAATTTTCTTTTTTTTTCAGGCACATGTATTTTTCCAATTACTTATTTATACTGAGTTTTTTCTTCCTATTAGAGGCCTTATAGACTATCAAGATAATTAAAGATACCAAAATTTTGTTTGGTCTCATTGTTTGCACTGATCCTGCTCACAAGGTTTATGCATGCAAACTTGTTTCAATAATTTGCTTATTTGGGGGGATTCATTTGCTTTTAGAAATGTATTTAATTTAATTTTTAATTGATGATAATTGTATATGTGGGGGCTTATTTCACAAGGTTTATGTGTGCAGGCTTGTTCTATTGATATATTATTTGGGGGGGGATTAGTTCTTTTTTTAATGTGTTTGTCATTTTATTTTTAACTAACAAAATTGTATTATGTGTATGGTGTACAATGAGGTTCAATTATGTACATATTGTGGAATGATCGAATCAGGCTAATTAACATACCTGTCACTTCATATACTTACCATGTCTTTGTGGTGAGAACATTTACAGTAGGTTTGTAGGATCTAGTACATCAAGCCAAACTTCCTTGCCTTCTGGTTTCCAGAAAAGCTTAGCCATTGGCAGTACAACAGTCTGAAGGCATGAAGGACACTAAAGCTGAGATGTTTATTTCTCTCTCTCTCTCTCTTTTTTTTTTCCCAGTTTTTGGCTAGGGCTGGGTTTGAACCGGCAACCTCCGGCATATGGGACTGGCACCCTACCCTTTTGGGCCAGAGGCGCCGCCCTGAGATGTTTATTTCTCCCAGTACACTCTTTGGAGATCTGGCCATTAGCACATGAAAAAATACAAACTTATGGCATCCTCAGGCTTTCTCCCTAAACTAGCCCAGCCAGCGTGGGGAAGGGCCGGTTTGACGTATAACCAGACACTGCCAATGAGGTCCAAATAAGAGGAGAGGTAAGAGTGAAGAGCGAATATAGAAAAGAACGCATCACGGAGCCCAAAGAGAGTCTCATCCTACTGATGTTCTTCCTGTGTATCCCAGACTTGGCTAAAGGTATGAGAAACTACTATAGGAGATAAAACTGTTTTGAGCACCCACCACGCGCCAGGCAGTGGGGCTCTTTACCAGAGTTTATTGCTACCAGCAGCTCTAGCAAGAGACTTATAGCATGTACCAGACTGTAGGACCGGAAGGAAAAAGGTCTGTGGGAAGCGGGAGTTTCTACCGCAGGTGTGCTGGGGACTCAAGCGACGCTGAGGGCAGGGGGCGCAGAGGCGCGTGTCCCGGGCGCGGGCTCCACGCGCTCAGCCTCTCAGTCCCAGGCGCTGGCGCTGCCCGGCGCCCTCAACCCGCCCAGCTGCCCGCGGTCCCGCCGTCCCGCCGGCCTGCCAGCGCCATGAGGACCAAGCAAGTGAACTTGATGATCGCCCTCGTCGCCGCCGCGCTCTTCAGCTTCTCCTGCTTCTCCATCTCCAGATTGACTCAAACCAGTAAGCAGCGGGTGACCGACCTTTCCCGCCTTAGGGGATCCGAGGATACAGGATGAGAGGGTTGGAGAGTGGGGGGGTGACGTGAGAACCTGGTGGTCCCCTGCCCTCCTGTAGGTCACCCACGGCGAGGCTCTGCAGATGTAGTACCCCACGCCCTTGGCCCCTGGCGGTTAGGCAGTAACCGACACCCTGGTCTCCCCGCGGCGACCCTGCCCTGCCCCAGCGCGCGCAACAGTGGGTCTGGCCCGCGCTGTCCCGGCAGCTCATCTTGGCTGCAGAGGTTCATGGGCTCCATCCGTGCCCCTCACCGCTACCCTCCTGTTCTTTCTTCTCTCTGGAACATGCATGTCTGTCTTCAATAACTACCGTTCCCCAGCCAGCATCTTTCTTCTTTCGTGGTTTAGTTTCTGGACTGCACTTCAAAACTTCCCCCCAAATTTTTGACTTTCTGTAAAAAGATGTGGGATGATGGAAAGAGATGGAACTGGCAATTTATAGCTCTCGTCGATCGCTTGACCGTCCTCAAACGGACCGTATGGCTTGCACCTTATCCTTCTGAAACATACAGAGTTTAGATTTACTGTGGTCAGCAGGAGTGCTAACTTAGCACATAAAAGTAAAGGTTACCCAGTTTAATTTGAATTTCAGACAATGAATTTTAATATAAAAAATTGCACGGGACAAATTTATTTCTTGTTTATCTGAAATTCACATCTCACTAGATATCCTGTATTTTATCTTTTAACCCTAATGTATCTTTCTAACGTTCATGTAGTTGAATTTTTCATTAAGACACAAACCCTATGAATTATTAAGCCACCCTTCCAAGTTTGCCCTTAGTTTCTTTTAGGTTAAATTTTCACTTTTCTTGACTTAAGTGCACACAAGTCATGTTGGTAACAGTGTTAAGGTCCAATTTTGAGAGTGATTTCATGTTTTAGTCTTCTAGTTAATATCACACCATGCACACAGTGTGTCTTCATTCTGTCCTACTCCTTTCAAAGATAATGAGTGCACATTAATTTGATTTCTAGGCTTTGCACTAAAATCATTAATCATTCTATGCCCTTCCCCCTTCACTTTCTATAAAGATCATTATCCAAATGTTTTTTTATTTATTTTAGAACAATAAACATTTATAACAGAAAATAAATAGTTTTTTGTAATTAGAAGGCAAACTGTAAATTTTTTGGAAGATAATTTAGAATGGCAACCTCAGAAGAAGTTTTAACACATTTAATATTCTTATAATAAAACCGTAGACTTTGAACTCCAAACAATCATTTCTGTGTGTCTTCCAATTTCTAGGAACACAAAGTCTGGTTCCTCAAAGTATTTACATTCCCAAGTTCAGAAAATGAAATATTGAAACACTCTCGAAATAGCTGATAAGTCAGATTTTTCATTTTTTTATGTATGTGTTTCTTTGGAACCTAGCTCTTAAATAATTAGGAAATCCACCCCAATATGATGAAATATTTTCACATCAACCAAAAACCAAACCCCAAAGCATAGAGTTCATTTAGTTTCTAAGGTAGTGATTTGCATAAGTCACCAAATATAGTTCCAATATTTTTAAAATTTGATCTATAACTGTAATTCTTATCAGTGAAAATTTGGCAAGATTTATTAGAAAGATAGCCAGCACCTAATGCTTTATTCTTTCCTCCTTTTGAAAATTAATTTTTATGGATAAACTATTTTTGTTTCTTTCTTTAAGCTCATAGCATTAATAATTCATTCATTTGTTCAAAAAATATGTAAACTCCAGAAGGAAAGAGTTTTTTTCCTTTCGGTTTTTGTCTGTTTTGTTCACTGCTGTGTCTCTAGAATCTGGAAAAATGCCTGGCACATAATAAACATGCTGAGTGTTTCTTGAATAAATGAATGATTGAATGAATGAATAAGCAAGTGAATTTATAAGTACTTATTCGTGCTGTAGGCACCAAGTGAACAACAAAGAACCCCTCCTTTCATGGAACTTATATTCTAGTTAGAGGAAATAAACAAACAATAATGAAGTAATTACCATATGATAGCAGGTGTTAGTAGGGTTAGGGGAAAGAAAGTGCTATTTTAGACAGGGTTGTCAGGCAAAGAGGAACTCTCTGAGAAAGTTAGACATATGTGAGCATATTCCTGAATGAAGCAAGGAAGCATTATGTGTAGTTACCTAGGGGAAGAGTTTTTCCAGGCAAATGAAAAAGCAAGAGCAAAGGTCCTGAGGTGGAATCACCTTAATTTGTTCAAGAAACAAGAAACAAGAGGCCCACATCACAAAGTCTCAAAGCTGCAGCTCCTGGCGTGGATGTGGAGAGAAGGGAACACTTTTAAGCTGTTGGTGGGACTGCAAGCTAATACAACCTTTAGGGAAGGAAGTAGGGAGAATTCTCGAAGAACTCAAATTAGATCTCCCATTTCATCCTGCAATCTCATTAGTAGGTGTTTACTCAGAAGTAAAAAAAATCATTTTATCATAAGGACATTTGCACTAGACTGTTTATTGCAGCTCAGTGTAGACTAGCCAAGACATGGAAACAACTTAAATGCCCACCAGCCCAGGAATGGATTAACAAGTGGTGGTAAATGTATGCCATAGAATGCCATTCAGCCATTAAAAAAGAGGGAGACTTTACATCTTTTGTATTAACCTGGATGGAGTTGAAATATATTCCTCTTAGTAAAGTATCGTAAGAATGGAGAAGCAAGAATCCAAAGTACTCAATTCTAATATGAAACCAGTAGATGATCTAATACACACCCCCATAAGAGAAAAACTCTAATCAATTCAAGGTGGGGGGCAGGGGAATGAGGGAATGTGGAGGAAGAAGGAGGTGGATGGGTGTGCTTCCACGTCATGGGCACAGTGTTAGGGGGCATGGCACACTTCTTGGGAGTGGGACACAATTATAAGAGGGACTTTACCTAACAAATGCAAACATTGTAACCTAATTATTTGTACCCTCAATTAACCTGAAACTATAATAAAAAGAAACATCCACGAGCCAATGTGAACAAGGAAGAGAATAGTAAAAAGATGACATAATAGAGACCACAGTGAGGAATACGGGTTTCATTCTGAGTAAGATGGTAAGCCATGCAGAGGAGTGATGCGATTTCACATATATCTTTAAAAGGTTATTGAATGCAGAAAGAAAAGAAGAAAAAGGAAATTTTGTCTTCAACAAGGGTTTCACTACCTTAGCACTATTGGCATTTTAGGATGGGTGATTCTTTCGGGAGGGGAGCTGACCTATAATTGTGGAGTGTCTAGCAGCGCCTCAGGACTCCAGATGTCGGTAGCACATTCCCTCCCCCATTGTGACAACTAATGTCTCCAGACATTGACAGATGTCACCTGAGGGACAAATCACCCCTGATTTAAGAACCACTTGTTTAAACAATGAGATAAATTGAGTTACCATTTACTGAAATGGTAAAGGCTGGGGGAAGAGCTGATTCAGGGGATAAAATCAACATTTCTGTTATGTGTGAGCTGGTTAAGTCCCAGTCAAAGTATTGACTGGCAGTTGGATATATCAGCGTGGGTCAAGATTGGCAGTATGAACTTGAGAACTATCAGCCTATGGTATTCTAAGCCCTAAGATTGCGTGAGATCACCCAGGAGTAGATGAGAAGTTCCAAACAGTAAGCCCAGGGAATCTCAATATTTCAAAGTTGAAGAAAAACTCAAACCCTGAGAGACCCAAGCCAAGAAGGTACTTCAAGGAGGAGAATGTGACAGCGCCAAATAATTCTGAGAGAAAAAAGCCATCTCACCCACCGTGCTTGAAGTCACATGACTGAGGAATGCAGGAGCAGCACCTTGACCTCCAGTAGGCTTCATCCCAGGCAACCAGACAGGAATTTAGATGCCATTTTGCCAGTGCATATTCTGTCGTGGACAACCAGTGTCCTGCTTTGCAAGGGTCATAGGGTAGTTATAAGTGCATAAGCCCATGTGGGGCAAATAACAGATCCCAGAGTTTTATCTTTGAGAGTGTGTTTCCTAGGTAATGCAGCCACTCCAGGGGCCCCTGGTCATCTGCTAGCTGCTGTCCTTAGAAGAGCCAGAACTTACTTGCCACTCTGCTGCTGCCACCGCCTAAACCTCTGACACTCCACCAAGGCTGGCAGTTGGTGGGTAAGCCAGCAAAAACAGAACTACTACCTCCTTGTACACACCCTATAACCTGCCACAACTGCCTCCCCTTAGCAAAGTGTGTTGAGTACTGCTGGCAATACTGGGGAGTTGGGGACAAGTAACAGACTTACTTTTGATTATCACAAAGAGAATTTAGAAAGGCTTACAGAGACCAAGTATCAACTGATACAATTTTTAGAAAGTCCAGGAAGAAGGAAAACTAGACAGCATGTTATATAGGGACACATATAAATGTGATATAAATTATATTCTAAAAAGCAAAGAAATTATGAACAGATACAACTTGGGAAAGTATTGTAGTGACATCATGAGATGGGGCAGGAAAGGAGTCACTGATGGGAGGAGAGGCATCGGGTGATGTTCCAGTTATTAGCCTGGGTGACCGGCTGCCTGTATTCATTTCACATTCCCCTCCAGAGCTTACTTATGCATTATGTGTTTTCTCTTGTGTGCATACAATGCTTGAAACTGAATGAACTTGTACAGTGGGAATACGGAAGCAGGAAAACAGTAATGATAGGCACACAGTACCAAATTTCCTTGAGAATGGAGAAAAAGGATGCATTTGAAAATGTTCTAAAATGAATGAATATATATGTAATTGGTTTATTAATCTGACTTGTTGGGATATAAATATGAATGAGTTTTTAATTTTTCCAATAATTGCTCAGATTATTTCCCTCTTCTGCTTAGCCATAGAGTTCATAGCGATAGTGAAGCCTTATTCTATTGTATTTTAGGTCACTTTTAGTTATTTAAATTGTCTCTCTCCTGTTTTTAAAGACCCTCTCCCACTCTTTTTAAAACTTTATTCTCATAGTTAAGTAAAATCTTT